CGCAGAAGATATGAACTGATGTTTCTCCAAAGAAAACCGACAAATGGGCCGACAGACACATGAAAAGAAGCTCAACATCACCATTATCAGGGAAATAAAAATCAAAACCACAATGAGCTATCACCTCATGAATGGCTGAAATTGACAACATAGAAAACAACAGATGTTGATGAGGATGTGGAGAAAAGAGAACCCTCTTACACTGTTGGTGGGAATGCAGATTGGGCAGTCACTCTGGAAAACAGCATGGAGGTTCCTAAGAACTTAAAACTAGAATTAAGTTACCCTACAATTCAGCAATGTACTACTAGGTACTCACCCAAAGGATACAAAAATACTGATCTGAAGGGATACACGCACCCCAAAGTTTACAGCAGTATTATCAACAACAGCCAAATTCTGGAAAGAGCCAAACGTCCATCAACCAATAAATGGATAAAGAAGTTATACACAATGGAATGTTACTAGGCCATAAAAAAAGAATGAAATCCTGGGGCGCCTGGGTGGCTCAGTTGGTTAAGCATCTCACCTTTGGTTCAGGTCATGATCCCAGAGTCCTGGGATCAAGCTCTGCATTGAGCTCCTTGCTCATGGGGGGGTCTTCTACTCCCTCTCCCTCTGCCCCCACCCACTCCCCCCTTGTTTGTGCTCTTTCTCTCAAATAAAGTCTTTTTTTAAAAAAATGGAATCTTGCCATGTGCAACAACATGGCTAGAAGTAGAGAGTATTTTTTTAAGATTTATTTATTTATTTGACAGACAGAGAGAGAGAGCAACGAAGGGGAGAGGGGACAAGGGAGAGAGAGAATTTCAAGCAAACCCCCACTGAGAGCAGAGTCCAAATCTGGCTGGATCTCACGACCCTGAGATCATGACCTGTGAAATCAAGAGTCCGGTGCTTAACAAACTGAGCCACCCAGACACCCCAAGGCAAGACAGTGTCATGCTAAGCAAAGGAAGTCAGTCAGAGAAAGACAAATACCATATGATTTCACTTGTATGTGGAATTTAAGAAACAAAACAGATGAACATAGGAGGGAAAAGGAGAGAGAGGCAAACCATAAAACAGACTCAACTATAGAGAACAAACTGAGGGTTGCTGGAGGGTTGGTGTCAGGGGGATGGGCTAGATAGGTGACAGATATTAAGGAGGGCACCTGAGAATACCTGGTGCTGTCTGTAAGTGATGAATCAGTAAATCCTACACACAAAACTATATATTACACTTATGTTAACTAACTAAAATTTCTTTTCTTTTTTTTTTTAAAGATATTATTTATTTGAGAGAGAGGGAGAAGCAGACTCCCTGCTGAGTGGAGAGCCCAATGCGGGGCTCGATCCTAGGACCCTGAGATGGTGACAATTGACTGAGCCACCCAGGACCCCCAACTAACTAGAATTTAAATATGAACTTGGGGGAAAAAAAAACAAATATCAAGTTGTCCTACACTGATTATAAACAATTATATACTTAATAATAGTGTATTCCTCAACATTAATATAGCATCCTTTGGGCCAGCTGTCAGAAAGAGATTACTTGGTAGGGTCTTCTCTAAGAGACTGTTTTTGCAACCTAAGGCAATTGTTTTCAAACTGGCATTTCTGGAGGTAACCACTGTAAGGAAGCCAAGAGAAGGTCGCTCAGCCCTGTCAGCCAGAGGAGCTGTGTTATAATCTCTCTCTCTCTCTTTTTTATGCACATTGGATTCTACATGGCTTTTTTTTTCTTTTTTTTTCAAGCTTCCATAGTTTAGGGGAAAAAAAGGAAGGAGGGGAAAGGTACTAATCTATAATATTTAAGGACATAAGTTAAAGTATATATTTAAAAGTAGTCTAGGCATCATCATTACAATGTTTATATTAAATAAAGTATTAACAATTAGAGCACTTAATAATATTATACAAGAACTGCAATAAAGAATATTCTGAAATTGAAATTCAAGGGGCGCCTGGGTGGCTCAGTGGGTTAAAGCCTCTGCCTTCGGCTCAGGTCCGGGGATCGATCCCCGCATTGGGCTCTCTGCTCAGCGGGGAGCCTGCTTCCTCCTCTCTTTCTCTGCCTGCCTCTCTGCCTACTTGTGATCTCTGTCAAATAAGTAAATAAAATCTTAAAAAAAAATACAAGTGTTCAAGTCTTTTAAAAGGACACATAACAACAAAAAAATTATACTGGCCACTTGGCCTAGGGCGATTTCAACCTCATAGGCTGCTCCCAATGGAGGTTTTGAGATTAAATGCATTTTTATCATCCTTTATGGGCAGGCCACAGCAAAAAAACAGCATCAATTTATACAAATGTGCTATTGTTGAGTGCAGTCAAACATGACCAGAGAAACCATTCAGGGAGGCACAAAATTCTTTGTTCTTAAATTCAACAGATGCTAGTTTTATGGAGAGTAATATGAACATATTTTGGGAAGAACTTACTAGCACTTCCCAGGGGGATGGCTATAGTAACAGAAAAGATTCCTTGTGGAGTCCACTGAGGAATTCTGTCCCGCTGGGGTACTACTGGGAGGACAGTCGGAAGTCACTGGGCTGAGAGAGAGCACCATTAAGACCTACATCCTCACACAGCTCTGAGGTGAGCTAAATAGGGTGTCCACACATCATGTGCTCTAATTCCCCTTCCACACCCACCCCTCCAGCACCACAGCAGTGCCTGGCCTGAACATAATATCCAGGTTTACAAAGAGGGATTTAATGCCTCTAAAGCACTTGGGAACACAGCATCAAGTTACACCTTCTCAGTCTCTAAGGACTGCTTGCCTTACCTTCCTATGCCCATGTTCTCTTCCAGGTAGCCTGACAGGGGTGCAGGGAGCCTACCTTTTTGTTGGTCTCTCCCCACTGACCTCATTTCCCTTTTAGACACTGGAGTTTTCCCATGGCTCCTAGCCCATGAACTTGCACTCCTGCCACTCCCAGACGAAGTTCCCTTATGCCAACTGCCAGGACTCAAAAAAATTTTCTACCTTGATTCTCAATCCATTTGCCAACTGTTAGAGCCTCCTGATATGGTTTCTCAACTTCTATACCAACCCTGTGTCTACTGTATCTGGCAATCTCCATTAGGCCCCATTCTGTGTCCTCTGAACTCCATTTATCCTCCCTGCCAAGGATGGAGTCTCAAATCATATTCCAGATCCATTCCGGTGGCTCAGAATGAAGCAGGCTGTTACAGATGGTCGCCCTTTCAAAAACTGAAACACTCTTACTTCAGAAGACAAAGTCAGCCTCTGGATAAAAAGATTTAACAATTGTAGGGACGCCTGGGTGGCTCAGTACGTTAAGTGTCTGTCTTCAGCTCAGGTCCTGATCCCAGAGCCGTAGGACCAAATGCTGCATAAGCTCCTTGCTCCACAGAGAACCTGCTTCTCCCTCTGCCTGCTGCTTCCCCTGCCTGTGCACTCACTCTCTCTCTGACAAATACATAAAATCTTTAAAAAAGAAAAAAAAAGATTTAATAATTGTATACAGCCACCTACTCTCTTGCAGAGAAAAAATAATGAGGTGAGTTTTCTAAGCCTTAGGCTGCTTAACTGTAACCATGAACTAAGGAAAAATAGTCCTATAAAGTAAGTAAGGGCACCCGGGTGGCTCAGTGGGTTAAGCCTCTGCCTTCAGCTCAGGGCATGATCTCAGGGTTCTGGGATCGAGCCCCACATGGGGCTTTCTGCTCAGCAGAGAGCCCGCATTCCCCCCCCCGCCTGCCTCTCTGCCTACTTGTGATATCTGTCAAATAAATAAATAAAATCTTTAAAAAAAAAAAAAAAAAAGGAATGTCCAGAAGAGGATGGACAGTCAAGTTAAGGTCAACCAACAAACTCATCCCACGGTCTGGGTTGGGAAGGGTCGCAGAGAGATTCTACACATGAAAACCTGCAAGGGGCTGAGGTTTCATGTTTGCGTTATGGACTATGCATTTTAGGTGTAAGGAGTAAAGATATGAAACCAGTTATCACTTCTGCACCTTAGTTCTAGCTGGTTTGGAGCTGCTTCTGCCCAACAGAAATAGAATGTGGGCTACACATATTTTTTTAAATTCTGTGGTTCTAGTAATAACAGTTAAAGGCTAAAAAGAAACAGGTGAGAATAATGTAAAAATATATTTTACTTAGTCCAAAATACAGTCATTTCAACAAGTAATCACTGTAAAAGACTATTAATGAGATAATTCATTTTCTTTTTTTCACACCAAATCTTCAAAATCTGGTGTGTATTTTACATTTAGAGTACATCTCAATTTATGGGCTAAATTTGAATCAGAAATCACTGATTTGTAATTCGAGTTTATAAAATGTATAGTCCAAAAAAGTAGATGTACATACCAAGTTGTCCCAAACAACTTAAAAATTTCATAATTCCTGAATTGGTTATCAGTTTTTAAATTTAAATTTAAATTAATTAAAGTTAAAAATTCAGTTCCTCAGTGTCACCAGCCACATCTTAAGTGCTCAAAAGCCGTTTTCGTCTAGTGGCCACCGTATCAGACAACAAAGCTCTCAGCAGATGGCAACCTGATGTGGACAAACTGAATAATCAATACAACGAAGCCCAGAAAGTTTAGCCATAATATTTTAATCCCTCGTCACATCTCGGTGACAAAGGAAGGGAAAATCACTACCACTGGAAAACTGGTAACTGGGTTAAGTGCCCAGAGACCCTCCCAATGCTATCCAGTAAACAGCATTTACAGCCCAGATTCTAAAAGACACACACTGAACAGTCAAGTGAAAAAAAACAGATCAACAGGCATTCATATGTATACTTTCTGATGTTCTCAATCATAGTAAACAACCTCAACACGGTGGGAGACAGGATAAAAATCGTGATGGTCTCAGATCCGGTAGAACTAGACATACAGTAAAACTGCCAAGTAAATATTGTCCATGTTTGAAGAGTTGGCAGGTTGTTCAAAATAAGACAATCCTTAAAGACAATATTTAAACACTTGGAAGTATCAGGAAAATAACCGTTTACTGGAAATGAAATCCTTACTACAGCAAAATGCAGAAGTTCGTCTTCGTTCAGCTCATTTTTCAATTTTCTGAATAAAGTTTGCATTGCTTTGCAAGGTCCACACCAGGCTTGGTAAACGTCGATCACTAGAAGATGATAATATTTATGAAAAAACAGAGTCAAAGAATCTGAAATAGCAGCTCATCCCAACGCTGCACGCGGCAGATGAAGGAGGTTTTTACATTCTTAGTGGTGAGGTGCACTCTGTAGGGGCGGGGCAGACTTGAGGTTCCCAAATGGCCGGACAACCAGGAGAACCCCAGTACCTGTTAGGCCTTTGTTCTGCAACATCTCATCCCACAGGCTTTGAGTATTGACGACTGCCTGCAAAAAGGAGGCCGCTGTCAAGGGGTCTCCAAGAGCCAACACCCCACGTAAAGACTGTTGGTAGGTCATGCTCACCTGTAACGGGACCTCTCGCTTTTTCCCCGCCATTTATCCCCTGTCATGGGAAAAAGGGAAGACAGATAGAAAACGTTTAAGATGAAATTTAAATGATGTTATTCCCTACGCATTCAAGCAGTATCTTAATGCCCCACAGAATATTTCCTTCGACGGTATCAGAATATACACTCCCCCCATTTCTAGGGAGAGAGGAGCCCAGGTCGCCGAGGGATTCCTCAGGGGGCTCTGCCCTGTTATCTTCCTCTCCCAGTAACTCTGGGGCAAGGTAAGAATGTTGCAAGGTACAGTTCCTTACAAAGTTTTCTTTTCCTGAAGCTTCACGGGGTGTTCTGTCTATTTTCATTTGCACACGTGTTAATTGTCTGTGACCAGCTCATGGATCCTCCTCGGGTCCCTCTCCACGGAGGTTTAATGAGTAGAACAAGAAGACCCTAGGGTGGTCTTGAGCAAGCACATCACCAACGATCCGCAGAGTTAAGTCAGTGAGGCCCTAACGGCCCATTCCGGGGACTCGGGGGCGCTCAGTGTGGTGGCCTGCGCGCGTGACAGCGGGCCTAGCACAAAACAAAGGAGTTATTCGGGACGACAAAACAAAGTCCCTCCCGGGTAAAGGTGCTGGATTCTCCAACAAGCTTAGCACAGAGCAGGTGCTCCTCCAAGCTACACCCCGACGTTTACAAGAACGAGAGAGAAGAGGCCCCCGAGGATCCAAACCAGTCCCTGGATGAGGCCTGCGGCCTTTGTGAGCACGGATCCAAGAGGTCCGAGTACCTGGGCACGGAGCAGGTAAAAACCTAACGGTCTGGACGTCGGTACACGCTGGTCCCGGGAAAGTGACAGAAAGAGGACCCTGGAACCGACATCAGGAGGAGGGGCCAACGTCCGCGGCCGCCCCACCCATGCGGTGAATCTGGCCCTCCCCCGCGGGGGCGGTGCCTCGAGGCTCCCCAAGCCCCAGGGCGCAGGTCCAGGACCGCTAAGCTAGAGTCCGGCTGCTCTTCCCGCGCGCGGGGCGAGGGGTGGGAGGGTGGGGGAGTCCGCTGCCCGGAGCCCCTGTACCTCTTTGCTCAGTGCCGGACAGCCCTCTATGCTACGGGTGCGTTTGCCACCTGCAGGTTGACAGAAGCTCTCCCGGACTGGTGACAACAGACATAATCACTGGTGTGCTGGTAGATGTTAACAACTAGCTCTCTTGGAAATTACTACGAATCATGATAAGTTTTACTGGCATAAATAAGAACAATGTGTGACAACAAGTAAAGAATAATTATAAAGTGTACAATATTCTGTTGCAAATTCCACAAAGCCAATAGATTTTTACAGAATGTTTTCATTGATTTTTGCTGGGGTCTAGCATTCATAGCCAATTCATACATGCAATTCATTCACGACTTGCCAGATTCCAAACATGAATAAATGCTTGGCCACGTTCACCATTAAAATCATGTTAAATACAAAAACATGTCTAAATACCGGTTTTCATACAGTTTTATCTCCTTACCATGAGTTGTTTCAAAAAGTAGTAATTTTCTCACTGCTCTAAAATAGCACTGTAATCTTGAACAAAGAGATAATGTTGATTATGTTTTAAAATATATGTTAGATAGCAAAATACTGATGAGCGCATGTCCTTAAATTTGAAACACTTTCTTTTTGCAAAATAAAAATAAGCTTTCCCATGAGAGAACCACTGAAAGTCTATGTGGGAAAAATATTTTCATAGGTACTCTCTATTGCGAAGATTCTCCTATTTTATGATCATGATTTTTTATTATTATTTTAATAAAATTAACAGCTTGGGTGTAATGTGACACCTATAGAATGGCCTAATCTCAGCTGGTCTGGATTGATGACATGCTTGTTTCCCAAGCTTCTTGGAGCACCGTAGTGACTTCTTGGCCAACACTACAGAGTATATGAAGTAAGTATAAATGATATTCTGCAACTATGGGTCCATGAGTGGTTTTAGAGTGGACATGTGAGCCTGTCATCATCATTCAGGAATACTAATTGGACTTAGGATTTGCTAAAACTCAGGAGTTAAAGGTGAAAGGTGAGAGGAGAATCAATGGCCACACATAGCTGGGACGTGCCCATGTGTGACCCGCTCCATATAAGAAACACTTAACAGAACTTGAGATCCCAGTGCCTTTGCATATAGGTGGGTGGTTGAAACCAAGAGACAAAACATATACTGTGCAACACTGAAATGAGAGGACAAAGAAGCCATTGAGGATGATAAGAGAAAAACTGTACCCTAAGATGGCGGACCAAACCAGCAAGGGAATTCCAGTCCCTGTCTCAAAGCCCTTCCGGATTCTTCTTTCCTACCCCGTTTCCTGCTCGCGCCAAAAGTACCAAGTATGTGAAAGTAGAAGGGTATAATTTACCCTCCCTGCTTGTGCTTGGGGCTTAGACCTTTGGAAATCATTCTCCTCTGAGCCCACCGGTGTTAAATAAACCTCCCATCCTCCAAGGTCTCCAAGTGCCACTTGGTTCTTCCGCCAGGATCCAGTCCAAGTTCCATAACAAGGACACTGCTGATAATGAATATATAAATAATAACAAAGCATAATATCCTCATATCTCAGATTAGAAAATAAACACAATCAGCAATATCACTTCTTGGAAGCTTACAGATTATTTTGCACACCTCAGGGGTGTGCATAATACATTGGGGACCACTAGATAGAAAATCAAGATGTCTACAAAATAACTGGGCAGGAGATAGAGATTTGCAGATAATTGGCATATTTAAAGGACAGAAGAGTAGAGTTGGATGGCCCAGGAAAGTATGGCATTTGAGAAAGTGAGGCCCCAAGAGGGTGCACTAGGAACATCAACATTTAGGAACAGAGAAATTGAAGCTAATGAAGGAAACTGAGAAGGAATAGCCAAAATGGGAGAAGAACCAAGAGCAGGTGATGTCACAGAAATCAAAGGATGAGATGATGGAAAGCCAACAATTGTCAATATTGCTAAGTGCTGCAAAGTGGTCAAATAAAACAAACAAACAAAGGTCAAATTAAATGTTGCTTATGTCGACTAAACAACAAAGAAGTCAATGTTGATGTCATGAGAATGTTTTCAGTGGAGTCTTCTGGGGAAAGTTGCTGGAAAAGAGAATGTCAAGACAGAAAGTAGAGGCAAAGAGAATCAACAGCTCTTTCCAGAAACCTAAAGATGAAGAGAAGGGACGTTGCCCAAGACTGTGGGCTGGTTTTAACTACCTTTCAATAAAGTGGAAGAGGTTGGCTACACCATATTGAAAGGGTGATTTTTCAAAGTCAGGAAAGCAAAGGTTGAAGAAATAGAGAAATAGAGCTTGAAGAGATGGCAGGGCACAGAAGGGAACGAGGCTCAGATGAGAGGACTGGCGCGCCTTCCAGCAAGAGCAAAAGAAATACGACCATGTTTCTGTATCCTGTTTTCCTCTCTTTTATGAAGTTATTAAAATATCTTACGCTTTTAGTGACTTTAATTATTTTTATTACAAATATAAGGGCCTGTTCAGCCAGAGCAGCCCCACCTGGGTTGAACAGCCATTTTGTTGCTTATGCAGTAAAACTTAAATTGACCCTGCCCCCACCCCCCCCCCCCCCCCCCCCCCCCCCGGGGAACTTACTTAAAAGCAAGCCCGGGAAACCAGTCCCAGGTAAAGAAGCCCAAATACAAGGGTGGGTCAGGTCAGGTAGAGGTAACAGCCCGAATTCGGGGATGAGTCGGGATTGAGACATCCAATCAGTAAAGCGCGCATACTGTCTCCCTAGCTACCAAGGAGTGTGGGCCCTGCCTTTTGGGGGGGCCAATTCTCACCAAGGTGATAGGCTAATTCAAATGTCTACTATAAGGTAAATTGTAATTCAATTGGTCAGTTATGTGTGACCTAGCATGACTGTTCCCTTTCTCTGTGTGTTATAATCTCATTCGCCACCTGTGTGTGGCCAGGCCCAAGCACACGGCCTTTGCTCTATAAAAGTTAGTCTGTGAAGCAGGGAGGGGTCAGGGATCGCACTCTCTGTAAGAGGCGTGGCCCCGGCGGGTCGGTTTGATTCTTGATGCTTGGTGCAAAATAATGCTTTGCTTGACCTTCACTTTGTATCAGTCTCGCTCCTTTAATCACGGACCCATTATTGGGGGACCCAACACAAGTATCTTGGAGATTCCCTGTGGTTTAAAACTGTTAGCATTCAAAAGTCTATATCCATAAGCTGTATTTTTATCCAGTCAACCTTGCCCAGCTCCCAGGACCTGACCTTTACTGCATACTTGCTTGCTCTCACTGACCTTTGTCCCACATTGTTCCCTGAGCTCTTCTTTCCAGCTTAGCTCTTAACTCAGCCAAATGGAAAGCAAAATCCCTTCCAGAGATAACAACTGAGCTGAGCAGACCTCCAGCCTACCCAGCCCGCTCAGACCAGTTTGAGCTGAACTCCTGACTCAGGCCAGCACAGAATGAAGGTAGAGTGATCTCTAGAATGCCACACAACTACTTTTACCTCTTATAATGCCAAAATCTCTGCCCCAGGAGGAGCGCAAGCCTCATTTACATAACGTACAGAAGATCTCACAGCTTGATCAAGGGTGTGGGCTTTATGGGAAAACAGTGGGAAACTTCTCAGCATTTAAAATGGAAAGATTTACAACAGATGGATGACATTAAAAGGTTTTGATTCTTAAAAAAAAAAAAAGAAAGAAAGAAAAATCCGCTGTGACATCAGTGTGACTATTGGAGTAAATGTGTTTGGGGTAGTGAAAGGAGAGATAATAAGATAGAAAGCTATTGTAGCAGTAGGAGAGGGCAGGGTTAGCCCTACAAGAAGGCAGAGAACACAGGCCAAGGGCAAAAAAGACTTGCATGAGATATCTTGGGCTTAGTGTCAATAGGACTTACGAAGGCGTGCTTTATAGGAGTGAGCGAGGAGAAGAATCCACAGAAAACCCTGAAGATTTGGCTGAGTGAATGATATTTTTCACGTGAGGGTGGAAAAAAGAACTATTAGAACTGGAGGGAAGATCATGAGTTCAGG